CATATTAAATGCAGGGCTTGTTCAGGATTTGGACATTATGCAAATGAGTGTGCAAATACCTTAAGAAGAAGAGGAATGAGTTTGATTTGTGCTGTCAGTGATGAGGAGGAAGAGCAACCTGAACAGACAGAGGAACAGCAATCCACTAAACAAGCTCTCTCTGTCAGATATATCACTGGAAATGCTTCTGAAACAGAATCACAAAGAGTTTCCCTGGATGCTGCAGCACTTTCTGAAACACTTTCAGTAACTGAAATTTCTGAGTTAAACACTGATCATTATACATGTTTAAACTCTATTTCTTTAAATGCAGCAGAATCCAGCATTGAAGCAACTAGTGATGAGGAAGAAATGTGTAGAAAACTTGCTCTTGACCTGGAGAAGAAGACTCAAGCTCTAGATGCAGTCAACAAGGAAAATCCTTCTCTCAAAGAAACAATCACTCATTTGGAGGTTGGTATCACCAAGAAGGATCTTGAACTGGCAAAGGTGAAAGATGAACTCAAAGAAGCGACTCTAGCAATCAAGAGGATGAATACAGACACAACTAAACTCAAAGAGATTGTGTCACTGGAGAAGTACAACAAAAATGAAGGTCTAGGGTTCAAAAACCAAGTGAAGAAACACAAGCCAGTAAAGAAGAAGGAGATTGTCTTTGTAAAAGAGAAGGGTTCAAATGGAAAAGAATGCAGAAATTCCACAGTCACCACTTCAGAGTCCAGAATAAGGGGATACATTTGTCATGACTGTTTCTCACCAGGACATACCCGTCCATTTTGTGAGAAACTAAGTAGTGACAAAATGTTGTACAGGATGAGTCACAGCACTCTAGGGAACACCTCCAAGAAAAAGGTAGAATTTACCAAAAAGGAGTGTAGAATATGGACTCCCAAAGGTAAACTTATGTACAAAGCAGTATACACTTCTTTAAATGCTAACATTTCAGGTTCATGGTACTTTGATAGTGGATGCTCTAGGCACATGACTGGAACTAAAGAGTCTCTATCAAACTACTATACACTCAATGGAGGACGTGTAACCTATGGAGGAGGAGCTAAAGGCAAAGTGGTTGGACGTGGAACACTCAGTCTTGAGGGACTTCCAAAACTTTCAAATGTCTTACATGTTGAAGGATTGGGGTCAAATCTCATCAGTATTAGTAAATTGTGTGATGATGATCTGCGTGTTAAATTTGATAAATACTGTTGTTCTTTGTTTGATAATCAAAATCAATGTGTACTGACAGGTTCCAGATCAATGGAGAATTGTTATCAAACAGGTGACACCATCTCATGCAAGAGCTCAAGAGTAAGTGAAGTAGAGTTGTGGCACCAGAAACTTGGGCACACAAACTTCAAAAATCTAAAGCTGCTCACCAAGTACAATGTCATAAGAGGAATTCCTGATCTCAAGATCAAGGACATTCCTATGTGTGGAATGTGCCAGAAGGGAAAGCAAACTAGGGTACCACACAAAGTGTTACAACCCGTTGGTACCACCATTTGTTTTGAACTTGTACATATGGATCTTATGGGTCCTATAGAGGTAGAAAGCCTAGGTGGTAAAAAATATGTATTTGTGTGTGTTGATGATTTTTCGAGATATACTTTGGTGTATTTTTTAAGAGAAAAATCTGATCTAGAATACATGCATGTGTTTGGATGTGTTTGCTATGTCCTCAATGATAGAGATCATCTAGCTAAATTTGATTCCAAAAGTGATTTGAGTTTGTTTATGGGATACTCTAATAACAGTCATGCTTATAGAGTATACAACTTAAGAACTCGAACCATTATTGAATCTGTAAATGTGGTATTTGATGACTTTGTTGATCTCCGCAGTAAAACAGCCGAAGATGAAGTTGATGATCTGATTGCTGAAGGAGAAACAACAGGAGGAGACACTACTGCCACAGATGCTCCAGATATAAACAGTCCAGTGTCAAGAGAAGAGGATGTTGAGACAAGTGTTACCACATCTGACTCAATACTTCCTACAGAGAGCATAGAAGCTGAACTGCAGCCAACTCATGATGTCTGCAGAAAGGAACCATCAAGTAGAATCCAGAAAAATCACCCATCGACTCAAGTTGTAGGAGATATCTTTGATGGGATAAGGACCAGAAGAAAAGAGAGAGTGAATTACAGAGATATGGTAAGATTTGCAAATTTATCTTCTAAATGTACACTAACTGGAACTACTTGCTTTGTATCTTCAGTCGAACCAAGGAATATTGCAGAAGCACTGAAGGATGAGTTTTGGATTAATGCAATGCATGAAGAGCTGAATCAGTTCATCAGGAATGATGTTTGGTACTTAGTTCCCAGACCAAGTCATGTAAATGTGATAGGAACTAAGTGGATCTTCAAAAATAAAACTGATAAAAAAGGTACAGTTGTTAGAAATAAGGCTAGGTTAGTAGTACAAGGTTATACTCAGATTGAAGGTATAGATTTTGATGAAACCTTTGCTCCAGTAGCTAGAATTGAATCTATTAGGTTACTTCTTGCTATAGCTTGTTTTCTTAAAATCAAATTGTATCAGATGGATATCAAAATTGCATTTATGAATGGGGTTTTAAATGAGGAAGCATATGTAGAACAGCCCAAGGGTTTTGAAGATTCTGCCAAGCCTAATCATGTTTTCAAGCTTAAGAAGGCACTGTATGGTCTTAAACAAGCTCCTAGAGCTTGGTATCAAAGACTCACTGACTTCTTACTTGAAATACAGTTCAACAGAGGAGAGGCAGACAGAACCCTATTTGTTAGAAGAACTAATAATCATATCATTAGTGTTCATATATATGTTGATGATATTGTTTTTGGCTCTACTTGTGCTAACCCTTTTCA